GTCACATAGCTATAGCATATAGAAATAAGGTTATAGCATATAGATACATATCGGTTCGGTAATTTTGTTTAGTAGAATGAATTCACAATGAATGTGTAAATTTTGCTAGGCACGTCAAATAGGTTGTTGCAATTGGGAGTACGAAAAATTCATAAATTTATGAATGAAGTAAATGTTTGTGCATTTTTTTGTTTTTAATAACGTAGTTATTTTTATGTTATGTTAATGTCGAACTAAAGAGGTAATTGGCTACTATGTGTTTCTCTTCATCGCCTTCATCAGCACATCGTAAAATTTCTATATCTATATATTAATACGTGAAGAAAAAACTTTGTACCACTTTTTACAAAAAATGCGCGGACGGAGGAGTATGAAATTTGCCACACTTATAGAGAATATCGAGAAGGAGTGCCGAATGTCAATATTTTTTAAAATTATGCATAATTAATAAATTAATCAATAAAAAAAAAACATTACACACACTACCATGTATTTGACATCACGCACGCATGCATGTTGTCAAACTTTTCTTACTGCTTGTAGTCTGTGATCAACTTGAGAATAGATTAATATTGTTTGTCTTTATTAGTATTTGTCTAATAAGTGTAATCTTAGCAAAATCTGTGATTATAGAAGTATATTAAATAGTCTTTGACAACAGAACCCTAATAATGTACAAACTTATAATATAATTTCAATTATTTTTATAGTCGAATTTCGACTACAGGGCGACCATTAGTAATGGATAAATGAACAAATCTAACTATTTAGTAACTTTAAATTTTAAGAGCTTCACATTTAAGTTTTGGAGTTGTAAAGTATCAAGCAAACATAAATATTTATGTGAGTTTGGACAGAGCACATTACCGACGCTTGCTTACTCATGAAATTTAGATGCCCGGTGACTTGCGACCCGGTCACTCTTATAAGACGAGTAATTGTTACCAGGAGAGCACTCGATGAAGCAGTGTAATCTATATCGTCATAGTCGTAGAATAGTGACGGATCTGACAAATATTAAACTTCACAGGGCAGCCATTTCAAATAATCATGTTAGATTTTTTGTCATAACTTTTTTAATTCAAATTCTGTAATTATGAAAATTGGCATACAAGCAAACAAAAGGATTCGTTTTAAAATAAAATAAAAATAATACCTTAAAATTACACAGTTTTCTAGAAAAATCACATGCTTCGTTTTACTTTGGAGTTGACACAGTCACATAGTATTATCCGACATTGTTCCTCGGAAAGTTACTGTTGAAGGAATGACGGAAGTTACTTTACGATCATGTTCTATTAACTTACAGAGTAATATTTTGGCGGATATGTTATTTGTCATATTATATTATTTTAAATTTTAACCGCAGGTAAGTATTATATGTTGGCAACTGGTCAGTAAGTAACCATATTAGGATGTCTTAAATAAAACACAGACTAATCGGTCTTACTTATTATCAATAGTATTATTTTATTACTATATAGACTAAGCAAACTATAATGTTGACTCTATTTGGGTGTGATTTTTTGGTAAATTACAAACCCAAAAATTTAAATACTAATCATTATGTAGAATTTAATTATAAAGAAAAGAAAAAACATTTATTAAAATGAAAAAAATCTTAAAAGTCACAACTTCAGAGATCAAAATAATAACAATAAAATAACTAAAATTAAAAAAAAACCCTACTGTACAATTATTCAGTTGGATTCATTACCAGTATCAGTAACATTACGTCCATGAGTTAAACTTCTGAAAAATGTTATGTTAAAAAATATTATTTCGTGGGTATTATTGAGGAATTGCAAAGACTAATAAGATTGTTATATTTATCATTACTGATTGGAATTAGACCCACTTAAGCTTTGTCTAAGGCTGGAGTTCAGACAATTCTTTGTATAAATTGAACATCCGACCGATGCTGAAGTCACCCCCCAAGTCACTTAAATACCACCATTTGGACGCTGCTCTATAATGCGACTCTACTGGTACAAATGATTTAACGTGGGTGCAAACCCACATTACCATTTCATCGTCAACAATCCGATTATGATTTTTATGATTCCCTCTCATGTCTTCTTCAACCAAAGTGCTTCCGTCTTACTTATCCCAAGCTATCCGAACTAACCTTTCGCTAATCGAATATGAACTTCAAAACATGATTTTACAATCCTCTGTTATTGATGATTCTTTTGCTGTTTTGTAGTATAATTCGCAACATGCAACCATTGTTACTCACAATCACCTAATTCTCAAAACTTATCAAATGCACCCTGTCTTTCTTCGAGGGTCAACATAGTGTAACATTTATTTTTACACGCGCAAGGCCTACTCATAGTTTTTGAAGGAACAAAAAGGCCCTTTTTGGAGGAGTATTATTTCCCAGCATTTTTAAGCGCTTTCTAGTAACTTCTTTCCAATCATCGTAATTTCGGACACATTTTTTACCTCTACATCGAATACGAGGCACTGGAGGACACGACTGGCATGAGGACACAACTGTGTTGATTGAAGGACAGTTGCTATAGTCCGCATCATCATTGAGTGCAACAAAAAAATCGTTACAGACTTCACAATGGCTTTTTACTGGTAATGGCAATCGGTTAATCGGTTGTGGGAAAGGTGATAGATCTGATATCAAGGTAGAGGTATTTAAAGGGCTTAAAGCTGCGCTTATATTTAGGGATACGGCATGTTGATTTTGTGACGAGAGTAAATCTGGTGAGGAATTTTTGATAAAGTGATTTTCTCTAAGAAAACAAGTAGAGGATGGTATGTTTGGGTTCCTATTTTCATCTGTAATACTTTCGTTTGCTCGGTGTACATCGTCTGCAAAGACATTCTCATAAACGTCGTTCGTTTTTGCTATTGCATGGCGTGCTCCCGGAGATAATGGTGAATGGCATTCTGAAAACATATCAGTATGTAAAAAATATAAATTCTTAATATCACAAGTCAACGTTTACGCCTAAGGTTGGTTTTACACCCTTAAGTTGATTCAGAACAAAAAGATTCGAAAGTACAGAAATAAAATAATTTACTTCTTTTTATTTATACAGGTAAAATATTACTCACATAGGATTATTTTTTTATAGAAAAATATATTAAGTATATACAAATAATCATTTTTTTTTAGTAGAAGAAAGCTGGATCTGAATTTAGTGCAAAGAACAAAGTGGGATGGTGAGATACGACTATTAGATAAAAAAACATGTTCATTGAATAACGTTGGTTGTGATCACCCGTCACTATTATGTCCATAGAAAAATGTAGTATAGTTACATATAATTTTAAAATTCAATTTTTTTTAAATAAACACAAACTTAACAAAATAATGTATAATACGAGTTAGGCAATCGCCCGATGCCCGTATTTGCTGAATCCGCATCGGATGACCCCGTGCGTCATAACAGAAACTGCACCATTGCAGATTTAGCAATAAGTTTACTTTAATAAATATATTGTAATTATAAATTAGTCTTGTAGTACATTCAAACGAATAAACATCGTTTTAATTAAATAAATTCTTTTTTTTATAATTAACNATTCATATCTTCGGGGCCGTTCACAACGCACACGTCAAAATGAATCCTTCTCAGACTGGGTTGCTGTTGATGCTGGCGTGCCTCAGGGTGGTGTTCTCTCTCCTCTTCTTTTCTCAGTGTTTATTAACACAGTCACTACTCTGATATCCTCAAATTTTCATCTTTATGCAGATGATTTGCAAATTTACCATCACTGCGCACCTAGTGAAATTGATGGAGCAATCAAGGATGTTAATTGTGATTTGGAAAACATTCAGGAATGGGCAACGTCTCATGGACTCTTACTCAATGCCAACAAAACACAGGCCATCATAATTGGTAGTAGATATGCTATTCGTGCATTAAATCATTCTGCAATTGGATCTCTCATATTGAATGGCCAACCAATTGTATTTAGTGAAATTGTTAAAAACCTTGGCGTTACCTTTAACTCTTTCTTAACACGTTCGCTGCATTACGAGATCTATCAGATCTCTTGCAGGACTTTTGTGTTGTGCGTTGAATATAATCGTGTTGTTTCACTCCTTGCGGGAGGGTCTAACGTGTAAAGTTCTTTAAGTATGAGTAGGACAAATATACATATTTGCTTCCTACTTAAAGCTGAATTCAAGGACATTAAAAAAGAAATTAGAGATGGATTAGGTCCCTAACGCACAGTACTATAATTATATTCATTTCTTGCGTTTGGAGATATGTCGGTACTCGTGGAATCGTACGCCTCGTAGACGCAAGAGAGGGAGGGTGGGCGGCGCGGGCGCTGCGTGACTCGTTTTAGTGTTGTCCTAGCATCGACGTGGGAGCTTGCGCGCACGTTTTGGAAATAACACTCGCGTATATACCTACGTGTTGATTATTTTTGATAAACAATGAGTTCTTTTAAAAGAAAATAGTGTAAAAAATTCTATTTATTTTGGTGAGATTTCTAACAAAAAATCAAAGCCGGATTATACTGCTGCATTGTCCAGTAAAATAAAAAATTTAGAAAATGTTCAAATTTTCCCCCCGTTGGCTAATAATGACAGTGATTCTGATTATGAAATATTTGACGTACCTCAAAAGAAAACGATGAACTTTTCTACGTTGGAGAGCACGCAGCTAAGTAATAAAAATATATATATCAGCCCATGTACTGGAAAAAGATTTAGTGTGCTTCAGAATACGATATCCAGTCCAAAAAATAGTAACAATAATACCACATTGTTGATGACGAATACTACACCGACTATAACTACTGATCCTATGACACCTGATCGTAAATTTTGTGGTACTGTTTCTCGTAACCGTAGTGGTTTATTTACTCCTAACTCGTGCACTCAAATGCTAACGGAAACATCCAACACAACTGCTAAAGCTTCTCCTGCCTCATTGAGTGCTTTATGTACATCAAGCAGGTGCCCGTCTTTGAATAATATTTCATGTTCGTACTTATTACCTTTAGAATTTAATGAGAGCAGCATGGAAAAATTGATTAAAACAACTATAAACGAAAGAAGAACCACAAGTAATATAAACAATAGTCCATTTTCTTTTGAGTATACTTTTGAGGATGATGCGCTCACTTATGACGAAAAAACAGAAAGAATAACGTCTAAATGCAACTTGAACAATAATTCACAAAAACATTTAGAAGAGAGAAACATTGAAAAGCAACAAGAAAATAATATAATAGGACAAGAAAAAGACCAGAATGAGCAAAATGGCAATCTAGAAATACAGAATAAAAAAGAGGAAGAACTAGAACAGGACGTAGAAAACGAAGAAATACAAGAAGTCGATCCGGAGACGCAGACTGATGAGGCAACCAATACTGAAATAGAAGAAATCGTTTCAAATGAACGTGATGATGATGCAGGTGAAAATCTCTCATCCGATATAATATCTGAAGATGAAGATAATATATCTGAAAATATATCAGAAAGTGAGGGTGGAGAGCTTGAGGGTGATAAAGATTGGTTTGACATTCCCGACAATGACGTAATGAGCTTCAATGAGAGTATACTTGATAGCGTGACAAATGTACCTATTCATAATAAAATGCCCGTCGATATTGCATTTTATTACAGAATTCCCCGAAGGAAGATGTACTGATCATATTTTCCAACGTGGCGACAAAAAAAGACGTTGTGTGGGTTGTTACGAAAAATTACGACGCACATTAAACAGCACTGACGCTTCTGAAAAAACTAAACGAATTGTTACCATATGCGCGCAATGCAAGCAATCAATGTGCTTACATGTTTTAATGAAAAGCACTTTGCATACTTAATAAAACTATTTCAATCGACAACTGAGATATTATTTTATTCCCATCACTACTTACTACACATATTGAACTATCTTCGGTTGCGGTACGAGATACCATCGATATCAAATTTTTTTTTGGTATTTGTAGTTTATTCAAATGTCATAACTGCGTGCGAACCTAGCAAAATATAAATCAATAGGCTATCTTTCATCCACAAAAACTTCAAAGTATATGTCATTGTTTTTTTGGAAGATATAAGTTATTTTCAAAACTGTATCTTTAGGAGACTGATTAGGTCTCAAACGCACCAAAGGGTGGGTAAGTTTCGAGATCTTTTAGGTCTCCAAAGCACCAGCTGAAAGTTCTTTGATAATAATGGCGCAGTGAACGTGTTAAGCTGGAATGAGCAGGTTAACAATGTTAGCAGCAAAGTTAACTTTGCATTCCATTCACTCAAATGTCTCCAATATTTTTTGCCTTTGGAAACTAAAATTTCTCTTGTCCAAAGTCTCATTTTACCCATTTTGGACTACGCTGATGCTTGCTACTTGGATGCCACTGAGGAGCTTCTCAATAAGCTTGAGCGTTTGCAAAATTTNGATGCCCGTATTTGCTGAATCCGCATCGGATGACCCCGTGCGTCATAACAGAAACTGCACCATTGCAGATTTAGCAATAAGTTTACTTTAATAAATATATTGTAATTATAAATTAGTCTTGTAGTACATTCAAACGAATAAACATCGTTTTAATTAAATAAATTCTTTTTTTTATAATTAACTCGTTCGCCGTAACTTAACTTACGATAGCCAACATTATTTTTATGTAAATAAAATTTTTAAACGATTTATAGTTTTCCGTAGAAAAACGACAGATAGTCAGAACCGTTACTATAATCATTTACTTTAGAAAATATGGTTTTAACACAAAAATTAAATAATACCAAATGTTAATACATAATTGATTAACCTACCTGGAGTCCCTGGTATACAGTCCTCCTCATCAGTGCACTCTTCATGAGTAAAATTCGTAATTTGTGCATTTTTGCTTCTTTCTTCCACCAGTTTTAACAAAGCTTTGATCGTCCTGGTTTCATTGTGACACACCTTTTAAGACGGTACGTAAGAAAGCTAGGTACGTAATAATTAATAAACAGGTAAATGAGGTAATCTAGTGTAAACGCTTAAGAAAAATTGAATCTGAAGACAACGCGTGGGCAACTTCGAGGAACAATGTTGGTTGCGTGGATACGTCGGGAGTAGGAGGGCCGGGCGCACGTCGTGTAGAGACGATTATGCACAAGCGTCATTTTACTATGAGCGTCTATCAAATCCGTCATTTTACCGACTGCTTAATTTGAAATCTAAAATACATGAATTTTTTTTTTAATGTATCAATAACACGACTCTACAAAAAAAAATTCGTTCTTTGTCCTAAAGTTTATACTATTATTTTCCAGTTAGTTATGCACAAAAACGAAAAGAAAATACCTTTTTTCGGTATAAAGTTTGCTTTTGTGATAGTTATAATAATAATACTCATTTTTCAATTTTTTCATAAATTTTAATTGATTTTAATATTTTTAAAAAGACTATTATAATATTTTTATATTTAGACAATGTAGTATCCAAATATGGTAAAAAGTGAATTTTGGATTTTTTTCAAATCCGACATTATTCTACGATCATGACGATATAATAATATATGAATGAATTGCTGTTCGTTATTTTCGCTAAAACTCGAGAACGGCTGGAACCCAATTTGGCTCATTTTGGTCTTGAATTATTTGTAGAAGTCCAGAAAAGGTTTAAAATGTAGATAAATATGAAAATGCTCGGAATCAAATAAAAATAACAATTTTGTTTTTCCTTTGATGTGTCGGACGGATTCCTTTTGTTTGTTTTAAGTTTATTTTATACAATAGTTTAGGTCTTTTATTTATCGATTGAGGCACTACGAAGTCTGTCGGATCAGCTAGTAATAATTAAATTCAGCAATGAAATTTTTTTTTTATTACTTAGATGCGTGGACGAGCTCACAGCCCACCTGATGTAAAGTGGTTACTGATGTTAAGAACCCATAGAATCCACAACGTAAATGCGCCACCACACAATGGGATATAAGTTCTAAGGTCTCAAGTATAGTTACAACGGCTGCCCCGCCTTTCAAACCGAAACGCATTACTGCTTCACGGCAGAAAAAGGTAGGATGGTGATAACTATCCGCGCGGACTCACAAGAGGTCCTACCACCAGTAATTACGCAAGTTATAATTTTGCGGGTTTGATTTTTATTACACGATGTTATTCCTTCACCGCGGAAGTCAATCGTGAACATTTGTTGAGAACGTATTTCATTAGAAAAATTGGTACCCGCCTGCGGGATTCGAACACCGGTGCATCGCTTCAACACGAATGCACCGGACGTCTTATCCTTTAGGCCACGACGACTTCAGACAAATCAAACAATCAACTTATTTGTGCCTATATATTTCTGAATTCGTTCCTGCAAACGGATAAATATTATAGCGGTAGGCGAGGCAAGATGCAGTACGTTATTTAAATTCATAACCACATAACTTCGACGAAAACTTGCCAAACATATTACAAAATAAGTTTCACTCAGAACTTTTGCACAAAGAAGTATACCTTTTGTTTATTTTGTGATATACCAGGACAAAGCAGAGCTACTACCCTTGATTCCAGCTGGTATTCAACCAGCTTAGGTTAGCTAGATAGGTAGACAACCCCCCTTTTTTTTTTCGGGCCGGGGGCCGAACCTCCTACGAGGTCCCTGCGCCTAGGGGGCGCGCGGGGTATGTGAGACTCAACGATCTGCAGGTGTTGAGAGCAGATCGCGGGCCCAAGGATTTTAGGGCCCACCCACTAAACGACTCCCCTGCACTCTTACACCCGACGTCCGATCTCCGTCCGGAGTCAGAGTAGGGGGGTTCCCGCGGTCAACACTACAACTAGACACGCGGTGCCACAGGTAGACAAACCCCTGGCTCATCTAGTATCAAGAGATTACTGAGAATAGTTCATGATGGTTATGTGGTGCCATTCATCGGTCAAAATAGGCGCAAAATGGTAATGGGTGTTTGCTTGGATAGTTACAATGTTACCTTATAGTTTACTGTCACTGTTTCAAAAAAGGCTTTAACAATTTCCCTAGTACTTTATTCTATATTATTCTATACGGATAATGTCCGGGTCCTTTCAACAAATAGGTGTATTTCCATCTATTAAGCATCTTTTAAATACTGTTTTGTGGAAGATTATAATAATATCTTAAGTAGCTGTTTACCTCAACTTCGAAACTATTAAACAGACGGCAATTACAAAAGTGAACCATCCCCGGCGGCCCGAATTAAGCAACTTTAATAATGTTGCTGCAATATAAAATGAATTTTCTACAATTTTATTTAGCAAAGCAATTTTCATACGTCCTCTCCATTTTCCCTGTGATGTTCTTTATTTGTATTCTAAAATAAAATACGTAGACTGATGCAGTTAAATTTTCAAAGGAAATGTGAGAACTGTGTCTTAGCTCCGTATACTATACAATATACACTATACTAGGAATGGTTTTGTTATAATGCAATGCTATTTATATTACCTACCTGAAGAAAGGTTTGTGTGTAGTATATTCAGTACGGAGCTCTACGCACTTTAGATCAGAACCAGATTTAGACCAGAATCTGTTTTTTTTTTTTTTGTAATGAGAATAATCCAATATCTTGCAAAGCTGTTCCAACGCAATTTCTTATGACATAATTAGGCCAAAGAATCTTACACGATGGTAGACTGTCCAAAAAGTTCAGAAAATATAGTTACGCGATTTTGGCCTCATCCAGATACTAATAGAGATGGCGGCATTGCTTTCTGCAAATAAGTTAATGATGGTATTACATGTTAAGACTGTGAAGATTTAGAGACAGGCGTGATATTTAAAATATTAAGGTGACGTAACAGTTAAATATCGTTAGTAGTATCATAGAAATAGACAAGTAAATTGTGCAGCTCAGTTTTTTTTTATTGCCGTTTAGGCAGACGAGGATACGGCCCACCTGATGGTGAGTGGTTACCGTCGCTCATAGACGTCAGCAATGCCAGGGGCAGAGCCAAGCCGCTGCCTACCGCTTAATACTCTCCACAAGCCTCGTTTGAAGAAGGACATGTCATAGCGCTCGGGAAACACCGTCGAGGGGAGCTCATTCCATAGCCGGATGGTACATGGCAAAAAAGATCTCTAGAAACGCATGATGGATGAACTCTACTCCGGTGGCGGGCGGTGCGATGGTAAAAACGAGACGTTGGTATCATCTCGAACAGTTCCTCAGAGCACTCCCCATGGAACATACGGTATAGAATACAGAGGGAACTGAAGTCCCTCCGCAGACCCAGAGATTCCAAACGATCCGTAAGTATGCTTAGTGTACATACAGCCCCTAATTATAAAGAGTTTCGCGTTCATATTACGTCGATACCACTAATACAAGTAAGAGCTATCGTGTATTAGTAGTAGAAGTCGTCGTAGCCTAAAGGATAAGACGTTCGGTGCATCTGTATCTTGCGATGCGACGGTGTTCAAATCCCGCTGGCGGGTACTAATTATTCTAATGAAATATGTACTTAACAATTGTTCATGATTGACCTTACACGGTGAAGGAATAACATCGTGTAATAAAAATCAAAACCCGCAAAATTATAATTTGCGTGATCACTGGTGGTAGGATCTCTTGTGGAGGTAGGACCTCTTGTAGGACCACCCTGCCTATTTCTGCCGTGAAGCAGTAATGCGTTTTGGTTTGAAGGGTGGAGCAGCCATTGTAACTATACTGA